GATCAATGCTGATAAACTCAGATGTATTCCACAGCAATTTTTTTAAGTTTCAATTACGAGTTCACTGCAGGTGTAACCTTCTATGTAGCTTTCAGCCTACGACTGATCACCACTTTATTCAAAATTCACTAATAAATCACCACTTGTTTAGTTAGCGATACTCTTAATCCGCTTATGTTTGTCCACCCTTCACCAGCTTACCTACTACATTCAGCTATGCAAGCACTTGTGTGGCATAAATTGTTCACGCCCTTGAATGAGGCTCACCACTAATTCATTTCCGATCAAACATATGCAAACATATGAAATTTCATTTATTTAGTTTTATTGTATTACGCAAAACCGGCTCTTATGAAACTAAAACCACATGTATGCTGTTGATTTACTGCCACATGCGCGGAGCTTAAGAACTTTTGTAACGCTTTACTTTGTTGATTTTCCCTGGAAAGCGCTGAGTCAGTTTATTTTGCGCTGGGTACTCATTTTGGTGTTACTTTATTATCTTCAACTGACTTTTCTGCACAATTGATTGATTGATTGACTGATTGGTACATTTGCTCACTGCCTGGCTGCTAAGCCTGTAAGGCTGACTCACAGCGGTCTTGAGAAAACATGCGCTGAATTCCCAGTTGGATAAGTGTGCTTGCATGTGTGTAGATATACAGATATATATGTGTGTGTATATGCTTAATTCAGTTGTGTGTGTGTGTGTGGGAGTATATATCACTGTAAAGACTCGTTTCATATTCGCGCTTCCAAAGAAAATTCGAGATTTCTTTTACGCTTTCCTTTCTTGGAATCGAGGACAGCTTTTCTTGTTTCCGTTTTTCTGCCATCTTAATTCTTTGAGAATCCGATTATTATTTTCGTGTATTTTTTAATTTTTTTTACATCTTGCTGTCAAAACATGGTAGCGAAGTTTTAATGAAGCAAAACGAGGCGAGAAATCGTTTGCAAGTTATAATTTTCTTTTTTGCGCTGATTTTCTTTGCACTTAAGAATGATTAAGAATTCATATTTAGCTATGTTGGTATAAAATTTTGCTAGTACAGCAGATATTCGTAATAGAAAAAGTCTCTTGGCGCACTGTTTTCACGAATTCTTGTATTTAAAAATATGTAATATTAAAATATAAAATTCAATGTGATTTCTACTAAATATTTCAATTTTGTATATTATTTTCACTATTTTAATTACCAATCAGTTGAGATTACTCTGAATAGGCGATATAACTGTCCCACTAGGCGTATGAGTAACATTTTTAAAAGGCATTAAAAGGCAATAGAAACTATTAGCACCAGTTCTTCTTTCAGACTTTCCTTATCTCTTTCGAAGATTTCTGAGTCAAAAAACAATAAAACCTCACTCGCGCAGCCGCCTCAACAATTATAATGACATTGTCAAACATTTCAGTCTTCCGTATCTATGATCCCCAATCGAATCTTGTCTTCGGTAGGGAAATCATAGAAAGCTTGAAGCTGACCATCAAAAAATTATTTAGCGCCTCATATATATATATTTCCAGATACTAATTTATCTGATTCCAGATACTAATTATTCTGCAGACTACTAATTTATTTTTTAATCTTAAAGCTCAACGTACTCGTACTGAAGCAAAACTACCGTGAGATAACAATAAATAATGATGAGTTTGAAATTAAGATAACTCACATATTGATTAATATATGCGGTAAAAAGTCAATTGGTAAATCCAAAAACGTTATGTAAATTGTGACATACGGGTCTATTATCATCAGGAAAAGATTTTTTTCAGACTTCGATAACATACGAGTATCTCACAGATTGAATGATATTTTCAATAAAAAGTTCGGAACAAGAACTGGGGTTCACATATTCGGTATTTGAGGCCTAGAGCAGTTATGATCCGATTTGAACAATTTTTTATTATAAGTGGCACTCAATTTTTGCTCAAGTTACAACTTACACAGACGAACCGACAGATAGTCACTCGGATTTCAACACCGCTCGTCATCCTAATCATTTATGTCTCGATTATTTTACATAAGGTGACACAAACAACCGTTAGATGAACCAAACTATTATACACTATACTAATAAACAGACCTGTGGTATTGGGCTTCTGACCCCAACTGCGTCTTATGCAGCCATCCTGTGTGTTTGCTTTGACAGCTGAGTGAATTGCTTTCCGAATATGAAAGTCTATACGGCTAAAAACGCACTACAAAGAACACGTGCTGAATGAAATATAATCTAAAACATTGCGCGCCAAGCAATTTTGCCGAAATCCTTCACCGGATGACAAGCACTTTTTGTTAAATTCATATTACTCTCACAGTTTTTATCATAAAAAATGCAAAAACCGTCATGGTGCCTTGAAAATTGGACCAAAATTATCAGCGTACCAAGAAAACACTTACAACATTATGGAATTTTTTCGCGTTCCAAAAACATGTCAAAGTTGTATGTCGAACAACCTCTGTGATTCATGATTTCGTGCGTCGTAGCAGACCCTGAATTTTACTCTAGAGATGTCATAATATTATCCACATGAATCAGAGAATCGAAATATATAATATATACATGCCTTAAATTTGTCAAACTTAAGTCTATCAAAAATATAACAAAACCACTTTATTTAATTAATTTTATAAAGCAATTGAATCAAAATCCAATTAAATTACATGCTATTTAGTCAGACAGGGCGTATGAGTTATATTTCACCTGTTATCAAATGAATTGCATATATTACACCTTGCGTACATTCATGTCAACAAAAGCTGCAATAAAGTATGAAATTTCAGTTGCAATACCTAAACGCACATGTGTAATGATAAGCTTTCATATACAGATATACATATGTACTATATAATATATATTATATATAATAATACAGTAATGATATTACTTCCTGGTTACTGTCAATTCATTTTGATTGCTTCTTAAGTTGTTTGCGGTCATTAACAACTGAACATTTCATAATAATAATAGCCGCAAGCAGCTCGATTGTCAGTGACGTTGCTGTTCTCGACTGCTAAGTGCTGCATTGATACTCATAATTGCAATGCGGTTGTTTTGCATGCAATTCTCATTATTTCGGAGAAATATCTTCAAAGAGGCTTATGGGAAATTATTTATTTGCCATTCAAGGAATTATAGAAACTAACTGCACGCATACAATTGTTAGCTGTGTAGTGTGCATAAGCAATTTGTGTTTTTATTTGGTTTGTGGGCATGCATATTAAAGGAAATAACATGAAATTGAAATTACAGTCAAAAAACAATATTAAGCAAATTGGGAATTTCGTGTTATTTTCAGTAAATATGGTTTATATGATTTATTTAATTTAAAAGAATTTTCTAAAGTAATAAAAGTTGAGAGAATTTTGATAACACTTTTATTTGATTAATACCTTAAAGCTAATAAAATTAATAGAAAATTTAAAGACACAAAAACTTAAACATTGTAAAAAGAAACTTTGCAATATGAGTATCAACTGAAAAAGTTCAGATCAGCTTGCAAAGCTTACAATATTACAGTTGAAAATACTGAACAGTGTTGCCAACTATTCAAAAAAATTAATAAACTTAGGTGTGAAGCTCTAAAGGTTCAATAAGTCAAATGCTGTAAAAGAAATGTATGAGAGTTGCCACCAGTTAAAAAAATTAATATTTTAAGTTTTATAAATAAACCCAATTGTTGCCTAATGATTATCAAATTGCAAAAGTTTAATAAAACCCCCCCGATTCAGAGAACGGGAAATCCCTAGCAAAGCTCTATAAGACAAAAGCGGGTTGCTACCATGTAGCAATTGTAACTCGGCTATTTACCTGAGATATTCGGTAATAATCAAATAAATGATTTGGATCTAGAAAGATTGCTAAAAATTAGCTTACAGTGCTAAAACTTTAGAACATAACAGATCATGTAAGCTTAAATGACGTCTATCTTCGCGCTAAAATTTCAGGCCTATTAATCATTTTTTTTTTCAAAACTCTTCCCTTAATGAGTACCTAAATAGCACCATTCCGGGTGAGACGTAGTCTCCTTGAAAAAAAATTTGCTTTTATAACCCCACTTCCGCCTAGACACAAGCTACTTTGAATATTTGAAAATATGTCAAAATGGCAGCGATTTATATTTTTTAATCATGTTTTTCAAGCAAAAAACGTCATTAAGAAATCGAAAATCGAAGTTTTGTGAAATATTAACAATTTTCAGATTTCTGATATCATTTAAAGTTTTGGCGGAATAGTGCCAAAAAAAACTCTTCTTTTGGTAAACCCAGAGAAAGGCCGGGTTTTGGAGCTCGATTCCTCGTAAACCAAGATGCCTGACTAAAGTATGTTTTGAGTTATGTGTATATTAGAGATAAGCGAAGAAAATTTTTTTCAACCGTAACTGTTATGTAAATAAGCTATAACAATATATGTTAAGGTCAGGTTTTAGTAATATGACCAAATAATAGTTATAATTTCACTTTTTTGTCTGAAAAATATTGTAGTAAAGTGTTTTGCATGTTGCACGACCATTAAATTCAAAGTTCACAATTCTCTCTCAAACTTTTAAGTTTTTAGCTTGTTCCAATTTTTGTTAAAATTTTACTCGCTTTTCCCTCTACGTTTTTCTACTCGGCATGCCTTGTGGTAAATTTATTTTGAGTTCTCAATTTAAACGTTCAATTTTGGGCGATTTTATAGTTTAACAGTTAAAATATAGTAACAGTAAAACTATCCACACACACACACATCCACAAATACACAAGTGTCTACATAAGTGGAATATGAGTATCGCAATTGTTCCACGACAGAGTACACTTGAGTTTTTGAGTAGTTTTGCGTTAAAGTTTTGCGAGCTGGCTAACTGGTGTACACTTTCCGCTGTACTTCTTTAAGTGCCGCGCATTTAATTATTGCTCCCGCCCCCAGAACCTTATAGTAGATATATGTATGTATACTACTAATGTTTCCATTTCTCGTTTAATATATTTGCAACGCGCTCAACCCCACCGCTTGAGTAGGCGCTAGTCGTGTGGGCTTGCCGAGCACTCCGAGCAGTCGCAAGGGCTCCATACTTGACATTGCGCAGCAGCAACAACAGCAACAGCTACAACAGCAGCATCAACAACACTTGCAACAGCAACTGCCAGTGGGTATCGGCAATGCAGCGACCAGTCCACCCTCGGATGACGAAGGCAAACAGTTTACGCCACGCTGGAAGGGTTCGGGCAGCAATCTGCGTCCACAAAGCGCTAAGCAGGCGTTGTCAATGCTGAAGCAAGCCTCCTCCGCCACGAATGTAGCTATGCAAGGGCAGAGTGGCGGTAGTTTGTTGGGTCTAGGCAACGATAGCCCCAAACAGTTGCGAAAAGGTAGCATGATTAATTTAAAGGCAAACGAAAATACGCTCGGACCGACAGCGATACTGCAGCGCAAAGGAAGCGTTTATGCACACAGCGCAACGGAACGCGACACCCCTAGTGTCGGCAGTAGCGGTTCGCCGCAGCGGAAAGCCAGTGTTTATGCTGGCGGTAGAGCAGGTGGCCACGTCGGTGAGTCGGCGCTGTTGCGCAAAAGTAGCATGTATAGTGTCAGCAGCAACGAAAGCCCGTCCATGTTGCGCAAGCAGAGTATCGCACCGCAACATCTCAGTGCCAAGAACTTAAGTCACAGCAGTCATGCAGACAGCATGAGTAGTTTAACGTCAACGACTGCGACCACAGTCGCCACTGCGGGTATTGATACGGACTATGGTCTAAAAATGGGTCCAGGACAAATACATCCAAAAGGTTATCGGCTGACAATGGTGCGACATGGCGAGCTGAAAATGGCATTTGCCAAAATCAAAGGCACCGTCGAAGTGGAGGTGAGTATGCTTTGACGAAACTTGTGACTTAAATAAACTCTGTCTCTTTCTCTCTCTCTCTCCGAGCATTTTTCGTTAAATGATAGATTAGATTCTAAATATATAGCCAAGCTTTGCATCATACTTGGTTCAATCCGATACTAATATAAATTGTGGAAAGTACAGGGTGTGCCATAATTTATGTCGGCATGTATAACCAGGCTTTCTGCTTGAAATATTTTTATCTTATTGGGTTCTTCGCAATCTATTGAGCGGCGCTAAATCGACCATTCAGATAATCTTCCGATCTTCGTTTGGAATTTTGTGGATTCTGTTGTACTTAAGCCCCCAACGCATAGTTTATGATTTTCGAAACTCTATTTAGCTAGTCAATGAAAAATATGTACTTTCGCAATTACTTTGTAAATTCTCTTAACACTCCACTTTGTAAAAACTTATGGCCGCTTCGACTTCCGAGTGGCTCCGATAGCGAAGAAAGCTGGGGCTGAGCCACAAAAAGTTAGTACAAAATATGTGTGCTTATATATATGTACACTTGTATTGCAAGAGAGCTATAACCATTGAGTGAGTACTTTAGCAACTAACTGACAGCTGAAATCCAAAATTACAAGCTTGTACAACTCTCCCACAACGTAGATGTAGATTCACGCCAGCGCGTGAAGCTCGTGTAAAATTAATGAAAATTTGCGTGCCATTACAAGCACAATTAACCGTTAGTGTGCAAGTTGTCCAAACTGCATACATGCCACTTGCAGCACCGACTGTGCATCCTTTCGGATAACAGTATGTGCATAAACAACATGGTCATTAGTAACCGTTTTACCGTTGCATTTTATTACCCTCGTCTTTTGTGTACCTTCACCAACTTTGCACACATTTGCCGTTTCGTACACGCAGCGAAAATCATTCTTTCTTCTTTCCTCCCTTTCCTAATTGCAGGTGATATGCGCACGCAACATTGTGCCCGAGGACTGTGAGACACCGCCGGATACATATGTGAAATGCTACATCAAAGATGGCGATCGACTGCGGCACAAGAAGAAGACGCGCGTGGTGAGGCACTCGGCCGAACCCTACTACAAGCAGACGCTCAAGTATCAGGTGAGTGCATGCTAACCAAACCAAAATGACTAACTTGCACTTGGCAAATGACCTGAAGCTCGCAAAACGGTTGCACCGCGGGCTGCGGACATGCCTGCAAAGTTGGTTTAATCACGCTTCTGAAAGCTCCATACTCACATCAAGTGCTCTTAATGTCTGTAATGTTAGAGGGAGGCAACGAGTTTACCGCTTTTGTTGGTTAAATTTACGCTCACACACACTTATTCGAACGAGTTCCCGCACAAACAAGCGCATCTGAATGTTCTGCCTTTTAATTTCCGCAATTTGCAAAAAAATTTACTGCTGATGACTTCCAAATGCCAAGCTGCGTGGAAGGATTTAATTTCGATTTGTTCACTTAGGTGCAACGTACATCCACTCACACACGCTATTTACGGTTTCAAGGATCACCCTAACCAAATGGACCCTTGTTGCACAATTTCTGCAAACCCTGCAAGTTTTAGTATACCTTATGTAACTAAAATTTTTATCCGTATTGTCATATTTTTATACACTGAACAGGGTAGTTTAAATTGGCTACTCAGAGGGAAACGACGACCCTATAAAATATATATATGTATAAATGATCAGCATGGCGAGCAGAGTCGATTTAACCATGTCCGTCTGTCTTTATATACGCGAACTAGCTCAGCTGTTGAGATATTGCTTTAAAATTTTGCAGTCGTCCTTTTCTCCACAAGAAACTGCTCATTTGTCGGAACGGCCGATATCACGCCCTATATATCATATAGCTTACATACTAACTGAACGATCGCATTCAAGAGCTTGTATGGAAAACTTTTTCATTTGACGTGATAACTTCCCGCGAATCAAATAATTTTACAGATTCTAAATATATGAACAAAAAAACTTGGTCCGACGTAATAAATAATGACTACAAATTCATTAGTTAGTTATTCTTCTTTAAACAATGTCCGAGCACAGAAATAATTTGTCCTTCAACTCCCTACAGGGATGCTTCCGCTTCTACTTAACACATACCTACATGCATGCGGAGTATATGTATGGCCTAAACGAGCCTTAATATCGCGAAACGCAAATATTGCAGTAATGCAGCACTTTGCACATTCACAGCTATACTTAGGTAGGTAATACCATTGTAGTGCATGCACGAGTGCGCCTACGCCTGAATGTAGGCAACATATGTGCGCTTTGTTGAATTTTGCGCATTTCATGCGACCATTTTCCACAATGCGCTTTCGCAGAACACTGCATTATTACATCACGGTAATCAAATGACCATGAAGTCATTATTAACACACGCGTTTCTCTCTTTTTATCCGACAAACAATGCGTTTCTCTCTTTTTCTCTCTTTTTATTTCTCTTTTTATCCTTTGATGCCGATATTATGGCAATTTCTTAACTTAGCAGAACTGCAGGTAACATTTCTGACTGCTTTTATGTGGATAGCTTGAATTTAATTTAGTGATACAACATGGACCGCGGTGCTTCTGGTAGAAATATTCGCTTCGACTGACCCACTCTGCAACCGTTTACGAACAGTTATGGAATAGTCACAAAATTCCTCATGCATGTACTGCACTTTTTTAATACAACGGGAATGTGAATCTGAAATTTCATAACATACCATACAATATAATTACATAACAAAAACTTTCCAGGGCGGAGTTATTTTGGTGTTAATTATTCACGACTACAAATACCTACTATTTCGAATTCGGAGTGCAATTATAGTTTTATTGTCATTTCATTTCAATAGCTTTATATACAATCCTACAAAAAATACAACCGTAAACCTTCCAATAATTATCCATTGCAAAATGCATTATCCAGTGAAGCAACCTCCATAGCTTAAATATATAATTCTTAAAAAAAATAAACTTGGAAAAAACATAAAATTGTACGGCGATAGTTTGATTCATGTATTTCTTTGGACTTCTGCCGTAGTCCCTACTATTATCCAATTCTGAGCTTTAAATAGGTATATTGTATCAAAATTTCTTCGCTTATCATATCACTTATTAGTTGTATGTCATTATTTTGTTGTTGTAGTGGTATAGAATATTCCCCAGATCCGCTTATATGTAACCAAATGTACACTGTACTGTGCAAGTGCTGGTGGTTAATAAGAGCTCGCCAGGCTCTCGTAAGAAACAACAGAACACTGAGATATTGATGCTGAAACAAAAATGTCATTAGCTTTACAACTTTTTACAATTCCACAACGCCAAGCCCCCATACTGACCTTATAATGAAAATGATCGATGTCATTGATAGCGAGGTATAAGGTCCATAACTACTCTTGATCGATTCTGAAAAATTAGCAGCTTCTTGAGGAAAGAGGGACGTATACAAAATTTCAGAACCATATCTCATGAACTGAGTGACTAGTTCGCATACATATATACAGACAGGCAGACGGACATTGCTAAATCGACTCAGCTAATTATGCTGATCATTTACATACCATATGTAAATATATATATTTTTATACGATCTCCGACGTTACCTTTTGGGTGTTACAAACAACGTGGCAAGCTTAATAGACCCTGTTCAGGGTATAAAAATCGATATGTGGACGCATTTACTGATAATCATTATGACCGACATTTTAACAATGACCAAAAATATGAAAATATGTTTCTTCCTTTTACAGAGTGCGGACGTTTTCGGTCGCAACATTGTCATTATGGTCTGGCAACGCTGTGTCGGTTTCGAACATAACCAAGGTTTGGGCGGCACCGAAGTCAATTTGGACAAAATCAATGCAGCACAACGCATAGGCGGCTGGTATCCACTCTTTCCGATGCATTCATTAGGCGGCTCCGATTCGGATAATTCTCCTTGACCGATCACGCGCAAACACATGCGAACCACACAAACAAATACAATGAACAATAAAATCGACACCACAAATATGAATCAAAATACAATAATTACAACAAAACGAGTTATAACAATTGCAACAAAAACACCAACAAATCAACTACGCTATAATACTATTTATAATAATGATTATTGTAATGATGATGCAAGTAATTATTACAATAACGGTATTGTATGTAATGATTACGTTAATGATAAAGCAAATAATAATTACAATAATGGTAATGCAAGCAATGATTACGATAATGGTGATGCAAGTAATGATTACAATAATGGTAATGCAAGTAATGATTACAATAATGGTGATGCCAGTATTGATTATAATAATTTATGCAGCGAAAAGGCTCAATTACAATTTACTACATTTAAATTGCAATTTATGGCAACTATGGAAATTTTCCAATTACAACAAACTATTATGGCTAAGCAAAAACAATTAAGAATGGTTGTGGAACGGTTTGCGGAGGTCCCAAGGGCTTCTTAAAGGCTTGAAGAGTGAATATTAAATTGTTTTTAAAAAAATATTAGTGAATATAGTATAACCACAATAAAAATGCATATTTTAATAAAAGAGCTTATAGAAGATTCTTCTAAAGAATTTGTTGCAAAACAAAAACACCATTACAAACACTCACACATACATACACAATGGTATAATTACTTGTATGCTCTTACTATAGTTGGAAGAGGTGGTGAGGAAATGTTAGTTACTATTTACAAAGCATTGAATAAAAAATGTTAAGTAGAGGAGAGAAGAGAAGGGAAAGTGAAAAGATACAGCTTTTTATATACATACATACCCAACTACTTATATTATATAATGCTGCTATAAAAATTTTTTCAAAAATACAAGTACAAATATTTTGTTTTTATAATATTATTTCCGTTGCTAACACCAAAAATAACAACAAAATCAAATTAACTACTCCACTAATACATATATAACCAGGCGAATAGTCAGCTTTGGTTGCCTAAGGAAGTGTTTGTTGAACAGAACAAGTAAAGTGAAGTTCATAAAAAATATTAAAAATAAAGAAAAACTATTTCAATAAAAAAATCAGGAATGCTTGCGGGTACCTTAGTAGCCTGAAGCATCAAACAACTGCAGTACAATTAAACTTAAACGAAACAACAGCGCATCAGCACCTAATTAAACACGCCTAACACGCTTGCATTAACACACACACATACATAACATACTATATATATAAACAAACATGTATATATAAAAATAATATATTTCAATTTTTCTGCTTAAATGTAGAAAGAAGTAAGCAATTAAAGTTGTTGGATGGGCAGAAAAGTATTATTTAAGCGTGCCTAAAAGCGGCGAGGTCTATTTTTAGGCGTATAAGCTGAATAATTTGCAAATACACAATATCCATTTACACACCTACAAGGTACCATATACAGCCACGAGTCTACACAAAACCACTATATTAATTGTTGTTGCGGCATAAATTAAGTGTAAGGTGTGATGTTACAAAAATTATAATTAAAAACGCAGCGAAAAACTTCTGATTTTCCTAAACATTTTTTATTTTCCTCATGTAATAATCATATTAAATAGCACTATTTCTGTGGCCTTGTCGCGCTGTATGCTTGTAAACTTTGTAACAGAATTTATGCAAGTTAAGTACAATTGTCGTCACTGTTTAGTTTTGCGCAGAATGACAAGAGCACCCATTAGCTACCTTGCGTAAACCACAGCGATGATATGTGGTAACTCGACACAATTCTCTTCAATTCCTCTGATGACTTTCGTAAGGCTGCGTGACTTCGTATCCTTTATACCATATA